ACGTTTTGAAGAGTCCAGAACCAAGGATGTGGACGAGCATGCCTTTCTCGAAGGGAATGTCATGGACTACAACAGAGCTGTTCAACATGCCGAAACCCCATCATTTTCCCAAGCGTCAGTTCCGCCTATATCTTCTAGTGTAATAGATGTGGCCCATGAGACAGATGTAACAGCAAACGCCTCTAAGGACTCTGAAGCGCTGTTACAGCCCAAGCGTGGAAAGAAGCGAAACAAGTGGTCTGAGCAAGAGACCAAAGATCTCCTTGTAGGTGTCAGCAGGTACGGTATAGGCAACTGGAAAAAGATATTGCAGGACCAAGACTTTGCATTCAACAATCGCACCGCCGTTGATCTGAAAGACCGCTTTCGTGTATGCTGCCCTGGTGAAGGTCTGAAGCCACGGCAGCCAAAGACCAAGGCAAAAGAGAAAATCAGCTTGGTTGAGACACCACCGGATTTGCCAGAAGCCATCTACACTCACCAGCATTCTCTTCCTATTACCGAACGCCACTCCGACATCAACCTCATTTCGAACTCCCCGAGCCCGACAGAGAACCAGCAACGTGGAGCTACTCGCAATAAGGCTACTACGCAGCTGGATCTAGCTGAGCTTGGCATCCGCGAACCATTCTCAAAAACCACCCGTCGACCACGCCGGGCCTTTAGCGCACGCGATGACATCAACTTGCTCAAGGGCTTTGAAAAGTACGGGTCTGTATGGCACTCTATGCGCGACGACGAGGACCTAGGGTTTGCGACTCGGCATCCAACAGACCTACGCGATCGATTCAGAATCCGGTATCCAGACAAGTATGCCAAAGCGGGTTACAAACTCAAAGCAAAAGAGAAGGAACGTACACTATCGAAACAAGCACAAGAACAAGAGAAACAGGACGATTCTTCGCAACAACCAGACCACATCCCACTTCAGGACCATTCGCACCACGCGAAATCAAGTCACTCGCAGAACGACATTACCTTCCTCGGAAAAGACATTCACCCCTTCAACAACAACGGACCAACCACAACCATGCCATCACACTGTCCGATCTCCAACAACACCACCACCAACAACGTCAATAATCTCAATCCCGCCCTAAAACCCTTCAACCCCTCCTCCTACCTCTCCGACCCCCTCCCGACCCTCCCCTTTGACGACCCAGACACCGACCTCACACAAGACATGAGCACCGTTGGCGACGAAAGCCCAATAACACTAAGTCGGAATATTCTCCGTTGGGCGGATGCGAATCCGTCGTCTCTGTACGCCTTGCCCGCTACTTCTGCGGCTTCTGCTTCGGCGTCGACGGGAAACGGGCTTGGTGGTAGTCTTGGTGGTAAGGGGGCTGGCGGGGGCGGGTCCGGTGGTGGTGGTGATGGGGGGATGAGTGGGTTTATCGGAGGGGGAGGGGGAGGTCAACAGCAACAGCAGCAGATGGATAGTGGGAGGGGGATGGTGCTGCCTGAGGCGGATAGTTGGTTATTGGGTGGTGAGAGGGTTTCGACGTATGGGATGTATAGGCATCGATCTTGACAGAGGTTAGTGTGTCGTACGTGGCAGTGGGGAACGAAGGTACAAGGTCAAACAGACACCTCATGTTGGCATGGTAGGGACTGCTCGATACAACGACAAACTTCAGTATAATTTTCCAATTCGGTACTCTCGAGAGCTCAAGTGCAGCCCTATCCATCCTGTCTACATGACCGATGCCCTCCGCCCCCATAAACCCGGGTATCACTTGTTCAAACCGACCATGGCCCGAATATCCTATCTCGCAGTCTGGCAGATACTAATAGCAAATTCTCGGAAGTCTCCCCTGGTAGCCTCTTCCACATCCTCCTCCACGATACGGCCATACTTCTCCTCGTATTCTGCTTTGACTCTAAGAAGATGCTGCCGGTCCCAATGTAATCTCACAAGACGCGAGATGAGTAGTTCGACTCGTTGTTGGCGTTCATGCTTGCTGGATGTTGCTTCGCGCGAGGACAGGCGACTGTTGGAAGAGCGGCCGTCGTTTGCGGGCTCCATGAGGTCGACGAGAGCGTGGTGGAGGAGCATGGCATCTCTTGCAGGACGGTTGACTGGGACGCGTAATTAGTACGTATCCAAGAGTTGAATGATGGGCGAAACACTTACTGACGCCATTGAGAATGTGCGCAATGACTTCACCAACCAAATTGTTGCTCTTCTTGAGCGCGTCTCTCGCGAAGTTGCCTTGGTACTTTCTCTCATATGTCCTCAGCACCTCGCGCAGATGTGCGTCACTTCGCATGATGACAATACTGAGCATGGCACTTTCTCCACCTTCCCTGGCTCGGATGGCTTTGTATAGGGTATCGACATCGCGATTGCGATATTCCACCGGCCAGACATCGCTTTCTTCCTGCCGATTGGCTTCCAGTGCCATCAACACAGCTTTACGGAACTTGTCGGCTTTGAGCTCCTTGTCCATGCAGCGGATGAGAGAATCGCTGTAGCGCTTGTCTTTGAATGAATCTTTGATCTCGCGGATCTCGTGGTTTTGTCGGCCCATTAGCGATTCGATAAGGAGCTCTCTCTTCGCCGAGTTGGACTGGTACCAGTAGTTTGCCCAGTAGCCCTCGCCTTCGTATTTGCCTAGGGCCGTCACGTAGGCAATTTTGCCAAAATTACCGTTGGTCTTCAACTTGATGTGTTTGGCGATGTTGATACCCCTGCCTTGTACTTTGCAGTGTCGCTTGTACTCGGCTCGCAACTCGAGCATCTGGTCGTGTGTGAGGATTGGGAGGATTTCGCATATAGTCTCCACATCTGGCGTTCGCGCCGCCAGTGCGTCGACAAGGGCTAGAGCGTCATCAGTGGCATCGTATATTCTCGCTTTCCGCTTCTCCTTTTCAGGGAGGCGCTCGTCGCGGCCATATGCGGCCATTGCCAACTTGTCGGTATGCCGGGAGGACCTCGAGGGGCTGGGCGTTCGTCGCGAGGAGGTGGAATGAGCACGGCGGCGGCGGCCATGACCAGACTCACGAGGGGAGAGAGTATCGAGAGGAGGCAGATGGTCAAGATCGTCATCTAGCATCAGCGCCTGAGGCATAGGGCTGATGGACTGGTACGTTCCATGGTACGCTTCTAGCAGAGGACTCGGCGGCGGTAGTCCGGAGGGGAATCCCCCAGGCATGCCTCCCGGAATGATAGTTTGTATATCGGGTCTGTTCCCGCTGACGGACAGCCTATCCATGCGAAGCCCATCCGGCCTGTCGCCTGCGCCAAGGTGACCTTGTGGACGCATCTCTACTACATTACGGCCATCGTGTGTGCTCATTGGCCCCGAGTAGGAAGCCGCTCGGTGATGATCAGGGCGCGGCGAGTGACTGCCCATTGGAGGAGGTGGGTAGAACGACTGGTCGGCTGGGGGCGGCTGAGGAGCCTGTGGCATGGTCGCATACTGAGATGGCGATGGAGGGGCCTGTGATGCGTACGGGGACTGCGGAGGCGGCGCGTGCGATGCATACTGAGACTGCGGCGGGGGAGCTTGCGATGCATACTGCGATTGCGAGGAAGGAGCCTGCGGCACGGCTGTGTACTGGAGTTGGGGCGTCGGGGGGTAGGAAGGGCTTATGGGCTGGGAGTTGTGCCGCACGACTGGCGGCTGGTTGTTGCTGCCCACGGGCTTCGCGGTATACTGGATATTCGTGGGCGGACTCGCATACTGGAAAGCGCCGTTGGTCTTCGCTGTCGCCGTCGGGGTGCGCGTGGGCGCGTTGTGGGATGCCGACGTTGCGGTATAGGCAAAGCCTTGGGCGGTCGGCGCATACTGGACGTTGCCCGGCTGCGCATACGCGACGCCCGCCGAGTTGGCTGCCGTGGTGGCAGGATGGGCGAACGAGGCGGACTGGGTATACCCTGGTCTCTCGTGGGGAGGGAGATCGGTGTAGTTCCCCATGGTAATGGGTTCGCTGGCTGGTCTGGTCGCCATTTCTCAGTTCAAGTCCCGCAATGTCTGTCGCAGACATCTGGCAGACGCATTTCGCGCAGTACTCACGTCGCATATTGCTGACCCGGCTGCCTAATCTCATACTGCGGGGTTGCAGCGCCGCTGTCAGCTGCACCTCGAGGTCGCTGAGGCTCGCGCCCGTCACGGCTGCGTGAGCGCGCACCCTCTCGACCGCGCCCAGGCGATTTGGACCGCGAGCGCCTTGACTTGTCGTCTGGCCGCAAAGACATGGCCTTGATCTTTCACTGCTCAATTGATGAGACTAATGTCAATTCTCGTGGTCGAGGTTTACGCGCTGAACAGTTCGGTCCAGTGCACGGCGCCACGAAAATTGCGATGGCTGGAAGCTGCCACACCATTGCCGCTCCTTTCAGCCTCGCTCATGTTTGCATTGGGGGCCAAAACCGCTGCTCAATTCGCCCTTCTCTCTGGCGCCGGAGGTTGGGTAGGCGCCTGCGCACATCGTGGAGCAGCTCCGTGAGTTCTTGTTGTAGCATCACGGTGCAAAAGGTGTCGGTGGTCTTGATGTGCACGTACGTTGGAAGTGGAGAGGGAGGCTTTCCCGACTCCAACGCATCCGTCCGCACTGAATCACACTCATGATTCTTATCTTGCGTCACAGCGTCAAGCGAGCGCTAGAAACGCCGAAAACCCTCAGTCAGAAACTTATGTTGAGCCGCTCCAGCTCCGTAACGCGCCGATATCAACGTCGCCATCGGCGAAGACAGGAACTGTGGGTCTCAACTCACCGCTTCAGCTACCTGACATGGAAATATCGAGCATTCTACGGACATTACCAGGGAATGCTTGGTACCTTAATGCTTAGCCTATCCGTCTGGTGAAAAGATTTCAGCTCGAGCTGAAGTGGTGTATCGGCAGAGCGCCACGATGCATAGATAAACAAACCATGACAGCAGCTTATAGGCCGTGACCATCAGCACGAGCCGCGCTGTTCTAGTTGTCACTTAAAGTTGAGGTGATACCATTCTCAGATGTTACAATCGTTCTTCGCATTCTACTAGAATCATGGCTGTCGTTGTTCCGCTTCCTGGTAATCTCCAGCCGCAATCTGCACTCCTCCAATTGCCAGCAGAAATCAAACACATCATATTTGGATTGTGTTTCGTTGCGGACACCCCCATAATCGACCCCCGAATCGACGGTTCCAGAACGCGAGAAGACAATGCGGTTCGTACGACACCAGGCGCTGCTCTACTTCAGACATGCCGTAGAACCTACCACGAGATCGACCGCCGTCCACTATTCGCGCAGAACACCTTCCGCTTCTCAAATCTGACAGGGATGCGGGCTTTCCTACATGCGCTTCCTGTGGAATACAGAACGCGCATCCAGGACATCGAAATTGACTTGCGAGAGTTGAACTCGGATCGTCCTCACCTTGCGCGTGAGTGGCTGCAGTACGTTGCGCTAGCAAAGAATGGAGGCTTCAATTCATTGCGCGCTGATGCAACCGGTCTACGGTGCCTGCGAATCAACCTAGAGTCGTGGCCAGTTAGTGAGTACTCTCAATCATAACTTCATGTGAGACATATACTGACGTGGCATTTCAACTTTCAGTTGCCGTAATCCGGAGTGAACTTTGGAAGTTTCTTCGAAGCATGTTATCGGGGCTCGAGGACTTGGACAGAGTTGTCGTGACTGGATCGAGCAGAGGCAAGGCAATGGAACGAAAACTCCCATGGTCACCAGTCCATTTTGTTGGTGGAGACGACGTTGGAACCCACGACTTGCTTACTCGAATGAACTCGTGTGTCACCAAAACCGGCCGCGACAACGCCGTCAAGTGGATGCGACAAAACGGCAAATTACAACTCGAAGTAACCTCCATGCCGGGTCTACACGAAAGCGCTGCCGCACAAGGGATACAAGCTCCAGAGAACGTGAACAGAGCAAAATCCTTGCCACCGAGCGGAGAATGTTCCTTCTTTGCCTGCGAGAATCGCCACTCCTATGGAACAGAACCCGTGGATAAGGATCTCAATCCCAATGCCGCCGGATGATGGGCCTCGCTGGGTCCCAAGGACCATAAATCTCGTTCTTGTATTTCTGGAGACCGATGAGCCACCAACTGCAGACCCCCATGCTCAGCACAGTGAGGATGACCCCTACGATTGCACCTGCCAAGAATGTACTGCGACCCCCACCTGTCAAGGTGACGAAGAGACCACCCCACGCGCCGGTTACTAGAGTGATAGTAAGGGCAAGATGACCCCACGGAGATCGAGCGCGGAGCTGCCGACGGAAGATTGGGAATAGACCGTATATCTCGATGGAGAAGAGGGTCAACGAGAAGACGTGTGTGGTGGATGGCAGGCGTGATGCGAGAACAGCCGACGCCATCATGGCCGAATTGGTGGATATCGACGCTGGTAATCTGTAGTCATACAACTTAGCCGTACGTACATCCAAAAGACTAGTGTCGTTCATACTGTGCGCCTGTGCCTGCGCTGTAGTCGAAAAAGGCAACGTTCATCATGAGGAGCCATGTACTCAGCGCCCATATCGAATCGCTTGTCGTAGAGCGCGTAAGTGACTTGAGAATTGGACTGAGTCCAAGCAAAGCCGCATAAATCAGCAACGCTGATTTGGCAGTCGCCAGGCGCTGTTGAGTTCGTCCTGAAAGTGCCGACGATGGTTTCATTGCAGCTTGGTCTGAGTCTGAAGCGGGTGTCGATGCCACATTGGAGACGGTCTCAAACTCCTGTCCCATCCAATGATCCCATAAGAACCAGGCTAGAACTGTGCATAAAGTAGCCCACCCTACTACTGCGACAGGCGATACTCTGTCGTGAATGATAGCCACAAAACAGCAACAAAAGATGACCACTGTTGCAAGATGCTGCACGATAACCGTGGCATCACCCATCAGCGACCAGAACTCGTAGGGCTGTAATCTTGGATTGCGCTGGAGATGATCAAGAAATGTCGTTTCATCTGTGTAGTTATCGGGAACTGTATACGTCAGACCTGGATCGAGATCCGAGACAGGGGCCTGCGTGAGCACTCACATGGCTGCTTGAACCATAGTAGTTTCTTGTAATTGCCCTTTGCAGGCCGGTTTACGATTCGCGGCCCACCCTTCCTCTTCCTGCTAGTAGCGGCGAGAGATGCGCCCGCTGGATCTAGTAGACGGTTTTGGTACATGTCACACTTGTTCGATTCGTTTGCAGGTATGGTTGATGGTGAGGAGATAGTTCAGGTTAGAGCTAAGTCGGGGGAACGCGTTACTGCACGTGCGGCCAAATGCGGACAGGCGCGATTATGTCCGAAACTATGTCCGAGCTTTCAGGTTATCAACATCTCGAGTTGTATTATTAACGATTAAGTGTTCTCCAAGCGACCATTATCCTCCTAGGCTTAGGCACGGTAGCGCGACCGGCCTTGACCTTAAAATTGTCCTGTTTCAACACTCTCCCAATCTCCATGTAGCTCTCGACCGCGACCCGAATTGGCCCTCTCGCTTCAACTGGCAATTGCTCGATTGCGACCTTGGTCTTCTCATACAAAGAAAACGCGTCCTTAAGAAGACGCTTACGTAGCGTCTCGATCTGTGCGTGGTCCGGTTTCTTCAACACCTCATCGTAACTCAATCCAACTTCAGACAGCCATTCCAAAGGAAGATAAACACGACCTATCTTAGCGTCTACTTGTATATCTCGTGCAATGTTGACGTATTGCAAGGCGACACCCATGCTGTTTCCAGCAGTGACTATGGCACGCTGTTCTTCGGTGGGCAAGGCGCTGGGATACCAGCTGAAGATGAGTTGAATACACATCTGAGCTACAGTGCCCGCTACGCGCTCTGAATACAAGCGCAAATCCTCCGTGGTCTTGATCAAGGGTCCCTTATCGAAAGCAAGATCCATCTCGAAGCCGCGTAGAAGATCCTCCAGTGGTTGATGCGAGAGTTTAACGGCTGGAAGCTGGAGGAGCGCAGATTGAGTAGCAGCAGGAAAGTCCTCGCGAACTTGGTCATGTACTGTAGACTTGGATGCAGAATCGCTATACGTATTGTTTAGGAACTTGCGCAATTTCGCTATCCAGGCCTTGGCTTCATCAGCGGAGGAAGCATTATCCACCAGATCGTCAGCAACGCGGCAGAAGGAGTAGAGCAGCAGCAGGTCTGCCCGTAAAGGTCCGGGGAAGGTTGCGGAGGCCAGGTAGAAACTACGGCTTTTACGCTTGAGACGTTGCACAGCCTCGCTAAGGCCTATTAGGCGGGCATCATCGTACTTGGAGCATGGAGTGAGTAGAGCGCCCATCAGCGTTTTGGGTGATGGAAGCAGGGAGGGCTTCGCAAACATGGCCGGGAACGTGTACAGCACTGCAAGGGCATTGTCAAATGCTAATTGACCAAACACTATGAGGCAGTTGGTGACGAGGAAGAAGAGGGCTTCCTCAACCTCGAGACCGTCCCACAAGTGCACACCATATTTTGTACCTGTGTTGATTACCCATGTTCCTCTGCGCAGGGCTAGGGTGTCGACAATCCAGAGGTAGAGCGTAGGAAGGATGATGGGTATCGCGGTGTTGGTCAGAGGAAGGGCCAGAATGAACTGATAGGCGAGACTCCTAGGTTCGGTTAGTAGGTATCCGGGTTGCAATAGCGATTGGCTTACCAGAGCATCAGCAGGAAGGGACCGGCCCATATCAGAATGAGACCGGTATATGTACCCTTGCTGTCATCCTGGATGCAACGCCATCCCCATGCGATGACACCCAGAAAGAAGATTTGGCCAGTACGTTTCGTGTATGCCCATCGGCTATTGGACGCGCCGCGTTCCGGACTTAGATAGACAGGCTGAAAGGTGGGCCTACTGAGGAGGAGGTACAGGACTGATGTATTGTATGTCTGGACGACAAAGAAGAAGACCTCTTCCAACGGAATGTCAAGCAGCTTTGGACCAATAATGACATGGGCGGGGTAGCTCCAGATGCCGGTGCGGATAAGGTAGGAATCCCATGGTATAGTCGAGACAACGGCAACCTGATATGTTAGCACGAAGTATGTTGACGAGGATGCGCGTACCAACCACTACCAGATAGACGACCTTGTACACGTCGAGTTTAGTAAAGAAAGGGCGGTAGAGCCAGGTGAGCAACACGGCCGGGGGGATCGTGTACTTGAGATGACTACCCGTCACTGTCAGCCATGTTGGAGTAACATAGGAGGCGCGTCACGTACACGAGCGCGTAGTCGAAGCCCATGATGGCACCGTGGGAGCAGAAGGGAGTAGCCGGAGAGATGTGCAATCGGCGTCACTCATGGAGCCAATGCGGCAGGGGGAGAGACTAGGCCGCGGCGGGCGTCAGGCACAAGATAATGCGCAAGAGAGGCCATGATGGAGAATATTTGCAACATGGTTGAGACGGCGCTGCTCGGGCGGCTGTGAAGGATGCGCGCTGCCCCAAGCGGCCTAGCGGTAATGCAAGCCTCGACATGACATCACGATTGCCCGGCCGCCATCACGACCAAGGCCGTGGAGCACATGTCAACCGGATACCCGTGGAAGCGGGCAGCCCTGCCATTGTTGCATCATACCATGTCACCAGCTCCTGATCCTGCCTCCGTGCCCTGCCTCCCACCGGCCGCGGCGACACGTGAAGACTGCACGCGCTGTACTAATGAATTGCCTGCGCCGTTGTCCTGAACCAAACCGTTCTCCAATGCCGCCAAGCTAATAATACCGCCGTAATGTCCACGCCTGGACCGAACAGCAGCAAGTCGACGCCTAAACACCCGTACGCCTTCCTGCTCATTGCCCTACACGGCCTGACTAACCCGCTCCAGATATCTCTCTGGCAACTTCGCGCCTGTCTCTACAAGATGCCCCCCTACGCCTGTCTCATGGACCGGCCGCATTCCACCAGAGCTGCTGGGCGGCATGTACGTCCGCAACGGCGGCAATCCCGTGACCAATTCCGACTTGGGACGTGAAGCGCATTGGTTCGACGGCGACGGCATGCTCGCTGGAGTCTGGTTCAGTCGCTCTGTCGCCGACCCTACCAAGCCCGCTGTCAAGTTCGTCAACCAATTCATCACCACCGACGTGTACCGCACCGCCGTTGAGAATCCGACTCTACGCACGCCTATCCTACCTAGCATCGCGACCCTTGTCAACCCTGCTTCCAGCTTGTTGCTTATCCTCTGGCGCATCCTACGTACTGTACTGGTCGTATTCTGGACCCATCTCTCAGGCTCTGCACGCGCTATCAAGCGCATCAGCGTCGCCAACACCAGCATACTATACCACGATGGACGTGCGTTGGCGACATGTGAGAGCGGGCCGCCAATGCGCATTGCGTTGCCAAGCCTGGAAACCGTCGGCTGGTTCGACGGTAACCGTGCCGAAGGCGAGGCTACACCCGGCAACAAGGACAAGAACGACGAGAAACAGCCTGAAGCTCTTGGTGGAACTGGTGTACTGAGCTGGATGAAAGAGTGGACAACGGGTCATCCCAAGGTCGACAAGGTCACGAACGAGATGGTTCTGTTCCATTGCAACTTCGTCGCGCCCTACGTTCACTATTCCCTACTTCCATCAGAAGGCTCTGTTGCAAAGAGATCAGGTTCAGAGGGAAGCAGATTAATCAACGCGCCAGTGCCCGGGTGCTCTGGCGGGAAGCTTATGCACGATTTCGGTGTGTCACGACACAATACCGTCATACTGGACCTGCCGCTCTCCCTTACCCCATTAAACTTGGCGATGAACAAGCCCATTGTCTTTTACCAACCTGAGAAACCAGCCAGGTTCGGTGTCTTTCCCCGGCGACACCCGGAATTAGTACGTTGGTTCGAGACAAGCGGCTGCTGTATTCTTCACACGGCCAACACTTGGGATGAGTACAACAGCACCGGCGATATATCAGCCGTTAACATGCTAGCTTGTCGGTTGACTACCGCATCTCTTGTGTTCAGTGCCGGGAACATTGAACCTCCTCCAAACCCGAGCAAGAAGCAAGCGAGCAGGCCCATGTCTTTCTTCGCCAAATACGATGA